GAAAGAGTTGTAAGTTAATAAAGTGAGGTGTTCAAGATTGTTCCCCATTTCTTCGATGCAGCGCAGTGAGGATAAATGCAGACGAGGGAATGTTACAGAAAGCAGGGTCAGAGAGATTTCCAAATGATATTGATGATACATTGGATGTTTTTCGATATGAAGGACTTCAAGGGAGGGGCTGATCTTAGACGATAGTGCAAGTATATCCGTCGGGAGGTCGAAGGGTAGCGACCGAGAGTGATATATCATAGAGAGAGAAGCTGGTTGCAAACGCAGGATAGATGCCTGGGCAGGTTTGCTCAATCTATCCCATAAGACACCACTCAGTTCTAATGGGATACGGTCCTTCATATGCGGCAAAACAGCGACAATCAGCTTGTTTAGCTGCTCGATATATGACGAATTCTCGTAATAGCAGATCTTGACATAACGAAGATCGCGGGCAATGGTAGATTGTGATGTTTGGAGGAGTTCAATAAGCTGGCGTGTCCTTTCAATGTCAAAGTCTTCGGGCCCAATTTCGATGCCAACATCATCGAACATCCAATGCCGGGCTCGTACGAACCACCAGGACGAGACGAGGGAACATTGACCAAGAAATTCCATCCTCTGTGGATCCGACTTGGGCGCCATGCTTCTATGGATTTCGTCGATGATAGCATGTTGAAGCTCGCGAGGAATTGCCTCTCCAGTTGCTTGCCTAGCACATAAGTGTGTCCTCAAGGTTCACGCGCACTGCCAAGGGCCTGACATTGTGCCGCGAGTTTACGGTCGCGATACGCCGACACAAGTCCCACCGTAATCGCCCTCTTCAGTTTCTTCACATCCTCCTTCGACGACACTACACCACTACACGTCGTGGGCGTGACGCTGCCCAGAAACCGAGCGAGGTCCTTGGGGGGGGGGGTAGGACGCGCTTAGCATCGCCGAGGGTGAGGGTCTCGAGGTTCGGGAACCTGGGGCATGAGTGGTGGCACCGCGATGTTGGCGTTGGCGTTGGATGTCACGCGCGCGGGGCTCGAGGTACAGACTCAACCCGCGTAACCAAGCACAGCGCCTCGCGAACGTCTCCACCGCCTCGTCCGTCCGCGTCAACCATCCGACTTTGGCGCCATGCCTCTATGAATTTCGTCAATCTTAGCAGTCAATCTTAGCATGTTGAAGCTCGCGAGGAATTGCTTCTCCAGTTGCCTAGCATAGAAAGTAACTGTCAACCATTGTTAGGGCCACGAACCCAATCACTAACGTAAATGTAGCATCCATACTGGGAGCTGTAGGCTCCTGAACCGCGTACAAAAGGTAACGATGTTCACTGCAAGAAAGTAAAAGTAGTAGATCCGCGATTGTCCGCGACTGCGAGCCTGCGCATGTGCCATCAGATGGAAAGAAAGTGTGTCCCCCACGCGCACGGATTGGCGTTTCGGCTGAGCTTAATTGTTAAAAAGTACTACACCTGCGCGCCCCTCCCTCTCGAACCCCTCTCGGTGACCGCGGGTTTTTAACATTCGCCCGAAATTATTTTATGCGAATAATGCCACGGCTGACGAGGCTGGACTCGCGATTCGTTGACACGAGCTTCAACACCCTCCTCAGTTTCTCGATGTCAGCCCTCCCCATCGGTACTTCGGACGAGGGCAACTGCACCATCTGAGCATTGATACTACATGTCGCGGGTGTAACGCTGCCCAGGAACCGAGCGAGATCCTCGGGGATATACGACGAGCTCATTAGACCCAAGGAGAGCTTCTCAAGATTCGGAAACATGGAAGATTGGGGTTTTTGGTACAGTGACTCGGACGGTGGCGGGCACAGGTGGACAGGGATGTCGAGGGGATGGATGTACAGAGTCAACTTGCATAGCAAAGGACAGCATCTCGCAAACATCTCCACAGCCTCGACCGTCAACCATTTCTCAGGCTTCTTGAGGGACTTGAAGGCAGGCAATGGAACCAAGCAGAACTCCCTTAGACCTGGCCACGCACGCGTGAGCCGCGCCGCAGTCGTGTTGTCCATCTCAAGTGGCACGCACATACTCAGCGAAAAGTGTGTGATCGACGCGCACTGTAGGAGGGGCTCGATGGCCGTAAAGGGGAGGCACGGTACGTAGGCTTCTATTCTGTCCCCCACGCCTAAGCTGAATTCGCGTATGTCCGGACAGCGATCGGCGACAAAAGCAACGAACGCGGCGATGGTTGTATTATCCTCCAACAATTCTGTCTGTACAAGAAGACGACGGAGGCGGTGAGTGGGAAAGGTGGGTTGGGATAGGAAATCCATGAGATCCTCCAGACCTGCTTTTAGCTCTATTTCCTCCAGCAAGGGGAATGCTCCTGGTTCAATGAGTGGGAGCGAGCTGCGAGTATTTATATCTTCTCTTTTGATGTACTGGTCGACTATGATGTGGATAGACTGGAGATACGGGCTCCTGCTGAGGACCGATATGGCATCTGGGGTCAAGAGCGCCTCCGCGAGCCTCACGCGTCTGAGATTCACAAGTCCCGCGAGGAAGCGCGCCAGCGGGGGTCCTAGATCTATGATAGATGTGAATTGGAGAGTCTTGATACATGGAGATTGTCGGATGACCTCGTCGAAGAAAGATTCCAAAAGTACCACATCGTCGTGTGTCATTTTCCGTACATGCATTTGCACGTCAAGCCCTTCTAACCTGGGCGCGAGGAAAAGGAGAGGTATGAGGTCGATGGATGCCATCGGCGTAGACGTCTCCATCCCCCAGATGAGATGTGTGAGATTCGGGCAAAGGGGGAAACCCCCGGGTCGTTTGGCGGTTGTTAGCAGCGTAAACGCGTCACGGTGCACTTCAAGAGGTGCTTCAGCAACTTTCAGATGGCGGATTCGGCTGGAGTAGTGGTAGAACCTGGGCCAGTTTTCATCAGGAATGCGGGATTGTACGAACGTCTACCACCAAAACCGATTACATCCTAGACTATGAAACGTGAGGAACAAATTGAAACATACTACGCACAGCTTCATCACCCCACAGTAACCGCGGATTTGGGGATATGTTCATCGGCCCCAGGATCCTCAGGAGATGCTCAAAGTGGTCGAGGCGGAACCAGAGAACGTCGAGCGCAACGCCTGACCACCTCTTGCACACGCGCGCACAGGACGCGGTCGTTGCTTGGAGGTTCGAATTGAAGCGGAAGATGATCTCCAGGATCTCGGGGAGCTGCAAGACGTGGTGCATCTGCTTTTCACAACAGAGAGATCTAGGCGTGTTAACGTTTATAACGGACAGATCATATCATAAGTTCGGCTTTCTCCAGAATGAGCACGCGGGTCCCTGGACCTCGATCCTCGCAGTCTAGAAGTTGCAGTGCCGTTGCAACAAAAAGACTGACGCTGAGGCCGGCAGTGGCAAAACGAATGATCCCTACCCGATTTGAACGGATGGCCTTGTGGAAGCTCCAGGGCTGGAATCACACACTCTACCGCTGAGCTAAGGGATCGGCGGATGCATGGTGATTGGATTTGGTGTGGGGTAGGACCGGCTCATTCAAATTGAAAGTTACTTTAAAATAGATAAAAACCGTCAATGTGCGAGATGGGATGAGATGTACATGGCTAGCATGGGCAAATCGATGAGATGTCAATGTCGGACCAATGGATTAGGTGAACTTGAGCTTGCAAGGGTAAGTGCAGAGTAAGAGTAAGAGTAAGGATAAGGGTATGCGTAGGTATCAATGTCATGTCATGTCATGTCATGTAAGTAGTGTACTGTACGTATATGCATGCTTTTCTTCATTCACATTCATTCATTCATTCATTCGAGGTCCGTGACGCCTTGCTGGCCCGCGTCTCCAACAGCGAGAACCTGCTCGATGGCTATACACTGCGATATAAGCTGCACAATAACCGCCCGTCCACACGCGTTGGTGATAAATGGATTCTACACACACACGGCGTCGTTCATCAGTACTCGCCAACACAGAACAAAGAAACCCACTCACCCGAACTAACTCCCCCGCCGCTGGCCTCCTCCCCGCAGGCTCTGAACAAACCCTCAAGAACTCCCTAAACGCGCTCGAGTACAAATGCGGGCTGCTCAGCGGCGGCCAACGCTCCGCGAACTGCTGCGTCTGCGCGAACGGCGGCTCCGCCTCGGCCATCTCCCACACCGTCGCGCCGAGGGACCACGTGTCGACTTTCAGTGCGTCGTAGGGCGGGCTGTGGGGGGAGGGCAAGCGTTAGTGGGGAATGCAATCTCGGGGATAGGGGGAGGGAGAGGGGGGAAGGACGACGTACGATCTGACTTCCGGTGCCTGCCAGTACGCTACCCCCACGGGATCCATAACCATCGGCGCGTCGAGCGGGACCTTGACCCCCGCCGAGAAATCCGCTGTACAACACGAAGAAAAGCATCAGTTCACTATCCACTATCGAATCCACTATCACGCCACTGGCGCACTCACCCAGCTTAACCACCCCCTCCGCATTAACGAGCAAATTATCGCTCCGCACGTCCCGATGGGCGACGCCGCGCTCCTGGAGCCACACAAGCGCACTGAGGACATCGCTCGCGACGCGCGCGAGGATGCGCTCGCCGAGCATGAGCCCCGCCGGCACGAGCGCGATAATATCCGCGAGGCTGCGCTCCATGAGCTCCATGCGGATCCAAAGCGCGTCTTCGAGGAGGTCGACGTACAGCGCGTCCATAGTGAGTATATTCGGGTGGGGGTCCCCATCCGCCCCGGCGTCGGCATCGGCATCCGCCCCCCACGCAACGCACTCCCTCATCAACCTCACCTCCCTCTCCACCTCCCCGAGCTTCTCGCTCCCACTCGGGAGTATAACGACGCTCTTCACCGCCACGACCGTCGTCTGCGCGCCCTTGAGGTCCTCCCAGTCCCGCGCGCGCACCCCCCGCGGGAGCTTGAGCTTCGCGATCTCCGGCGTCGGCGCGAGCCGCGCGGCGTACACGGACCCGGACTCGCCCTCCGCGATCTCTTGCAGGTCGAGGTAGAACTGGCGCGGGTCGATCGGGAGGTCGATGTACGCCTCGAGGGGCGTCAGGATGGCGGAGAGCCACCCGCGGTAGGGCGGCGGGTGCAGAGAGGTGCTCGTTAGGGGTGTATGTGCGGTGTCGGGGGGCGGCGCGGAGGCGGAGGCGGGGGCGGGGCCGGTGGTTGTCGATGTTGATGTTGTTATGGTTGAGGTCGACGATGTGGATGTGGATGTGGATGTGGATGCTGACGTCGACGTCAAGGGCGTATGCGCGTACCCCAGCGCCCCCGGACTCGGTAGGGCCAACGGCGGGGGCGGGGGCGGGTGCGGGTGCGGTACCGTATCCGCAGAAATCACAATCCGCGGCCTCGCAGGCGCAGGCAGCCCACCGCGCCTCTCACCCGCATCCTCCTCCTCATCCTCCTCATACCCTCCCCCGGGGCCTTCGACACTAGGCTCCAGCTCCCCCTGCGCATACCCATGCACATGCCCCTCGCCCTCCCGATACCCATCCGTATCCGGATAATCCTCATACTCGACCCCATACCCCTCCGGGTACCCCTCCTCATGCTCGTACCCCTCCTCATGCTCGTACTCGACCCCATACCCCTCGGGGTACGCCCCGTCCCCGTCCGCATCCCCAACCAGAAGCGCGTCGGGATCGGCATGCGGATCGTACTCCTTGACGCCCCCAAACGTATCCGTCATCGACATGCGCATGAGGATCTCCTTCGGGGGGAGGTACCTGCGCTGCCCCGTGCCCGTACCTGTGCCCGTGCCCGCACTACGTGGGCTGAACCCAGGGCTGGCTAGACCGAACCCGGGGGACGCCACGGACTCGAGGTAGTACCCCAGCGAGGAGTCGGCGGTCGTGGGCGTCGGCGGGGTGGGCGTGGGGTGGTGCGTCGAGGTCGAGGTCGAGGTTGAGGTTGAGGTTGAGGTTGAGGTCGCCGAGTTCGAGGCCGAAGTCGACGTGCCCGATCCCGAGCCTGACCTGCCTGAGCCCGACCCAGACCCACCAGAGCCCGACCCGCCCGACCCAGAGCCGGGCCCGCTCTCCTCCGACCCAAAAGTAGAGCTCAACGGCGACGGCGGGGGCGGCTTCGCGTCCCTCTCGCGCTCGCGCTCCCAGACCCTCGCGCCCGCGCCGACACCCTTCTCCCGCACCGGGCTCTCCACGACCCGCGCGCCCGCCCGGCGCACCGACACGCTCCGCGCGACGCTGATCGTCGCCTTCTCCATCTCCACCTCCACCTCCATCGCCATCGCCATCTCGGACTCCGTCGCGGAGACGGAGGAGGTGACTGTTTTTCTGTCTACCCCTGCGGCGGCGAGAGGCAGCGGCGTGACGGTGGACGTGCTGCTCCTGCTCGATTCCCGGTTTTTGTTCGTATTCAGGCTCAGGTTCAGGGTGGGGGAGAGGGAGAGGGACGCCCCCATCGACTGCATCGGCGTCGGCATCGCAGGGCGTGCGTGATTCGTACCCAACATACCCTCGATATCCTCCCACAGCGGACTCGTCATATCCGACTGGGCCGACACAGGTCCAGACACAGACGACGCAGGCGCCGCCGAGGCCGAGGCCGGGGCCGCTTCGTCTTCCCCCTCGCCGTCCTCCTCGTCGTCCTCCCCGTCCCCGTCCCCGTCGTCGGAGCCGGAGTCGGAGTCGTCGTCAACCCAGGACGTCGCGCCCGGGTCGTACCGCGCCGTCGATGCGGGCTCGACGAAGGACGAGCTGAGCCCTGGGTCGTCGTCGTCTTCCTCCTCCTCCTCGTCGTAGTCTTCCACCTCGGCCTCGGGTACGCGCCCCCGCCCGTTCGCGTTCGCGTTAAGCGCGGACCGGACCCTCGCGGTGCTCGTGCTCGTGCTGGCGGTGCTCGTGCTCGAATTCCGCAGCGGCACATTGAGCGGCGGGACGGATTTTTTCTGGGACTGAGTGCGTGGCGGGGATTTCGCGTGCGTGTGCGTATGCGCGTGCGTGTAATACGCGTTGTTCATCGTACCAGCACTCGTACCCGTCCCCGTCCCCGTAGTAGTGAGCCCCCTCTCCTGCGCATCAGCAAACTTGCTCCCCGTATCGTCGACGTCCATGCTAGCCGTGGACATGCCGCTGAGGAGGGCCTCGCCCCAGGACGCGAGGTCTGTGCTGTCTTTGGATTTGTGGAGGGAGAGGCGGGGCGGGAGGGCCATGAGGCGTTTGGCTGTGGCTGTTGCGGTTGCGGTTGCGGTCGCGGTTGGGGATGGGGTTGGTGGTTGGGTGGTGGCAGTGGATGTGGATGTGGTGGACGTGGATGTAGATGACGATGACGATGGTGATGGCGATGGCGATGGTAATGTAGATGTGGGCGTGGATGTGGATGTGGTAGGGGGAGAGGGGATAGACGCAGACGCAGACGCAGACGGCGACGGCGAAGATGGCGAGACGCGTGTACTAGACGTAGCAGACGAACTCGCAGCCGGCGGTGGCGGCGCCTTGACGGGTGAAGTTGGAGGGGGCTGCTGCTGTTTTATCGGCACAGCCGTAGCAACAGCAACGACATTTTTCAGGGGGGTGGGTGCAGCAGACGGGGTGGGGGGGAGGGGGAGAGATGGTGGATTTGGGGATGAACTGGACGGTGTTCGTTGATGATGTGCACTCCCGTCTGTGCCCGCACGTGGTCTGCCAAACCTCTGTGACTTGGGGGTGCCATCTGTCCTCTTCTCTATAGGGTAGGGATATCCAGTGGCAGGGTTGTACGCTGGTGGAGGGGGATCGTTGGCGACATGGAAGGGTCTGTGCGGGGGAGTGCTAGGACGTTGTGTTTCTGGGATGAAACTGGATACGCTGGAGTGCTGGGAGTGGACGGATGGGTGATGGTGGTGAGATGGGATGACGAAGGGAGAAGCGAGGCTTGGCAGCGGCGGGTGTTGTGGCAGCGACGTTGTCCGTGGCGCTGGATGGGTCAGAATAGGCGACGCTGGTCTGTCAGTAAACGAATACGGCGATCGTGTTCTCCGATTTTGGATATCAGCAATCTCTTCTTCCGTGAACCCCGCATTCGCCAACGAAAGCGTCCACGATGGAGGCAGCCCAACAAATCTATTGACAATTAGCAAAATCCACATTTTAATTCGAAACCACTCACGCTTCGTCGACATGAATGTTGTGCTAATCATAAAATAAGAATCAATTCCAAAAATATCAACTCTTCCAACTTGCCTGAAAGTTCCATGGCATCGATATCCCCTCGTCCTCCTGACTCTCACTCGCACTCGGGCTCGTACTCTGACTCGCACTCGCACTCGCCTCACTCTTCCCATTCCTCCTCCCAAACTTGAAAAACGCACTCTTCTTCCTCCCAAGCAGCCCGCCACCCGGCATCGGCGGCACCTCCCTCTCCCGCTCCGTAGGCGACGGCACCAACGACGTCGCGCTCTTATTGCTCACCGACAGCGGCGACTCCGGCCCCGGCCCCACGCTCGGCGACAGCGACGCAAACGACCGGTTGCTGTTCAGGTAGTACCC